ATTTTTCATAAGGCGCCGGAAATATGAGCTTAAAATTAAAGACACAGAAAATTCCGCAAGAATGGCTTAAGCGCCAGGAAATCAGCCTTCAAATAATATTGCAGCACATACATACAAATACGTATATGAAATAACTACTTCTATCCTTATATCTATAAGTATATAATCATATAATCATATTCTACTGTTTCATTTTAAAGTTGATTACAAAAGCAACAACAACAATATTAACAACCGCAACAATAAACATAAGAACAATGCGAAATGTTTAAATTCATGTTTCATCCTTTTTTTTATTTTGAAAGAATCCTTCATGCTCAAATTTTTATAAGGATAATGCGTGTGTGTGTGTGTGTGAGAGAGTGAGTAAACATTAAGTTACGTATCGTTAAACTCTTTTTTGTATTGTTTTGTTTATGCACTTAAAGGGCGCCATTAAATTGCCATTGACATCCACTTGAAGTTAGATACATGCAAGCATCCTTACAGCACATGGCACATAAGTGAGTTAACTTAAAGTTTTTATGAGCAAATGTTGCGTTGCGTTACGTTGCGTTGCGTTGCGTTGCGTTGAGTTGCGTTATTCTTTGCTATTCCAAGTGTCTCTGGTGTACGCATATGGAAGCACAAAGCAAACATTCACATGCAATTGTGTGAACTAATGTGTGTATATCCCTATATCCTTGCAGTAAACGTACGCTCGCATTTGTTGTTCTGAAATAGGGCTCAAAGGATTTCAGACAATTGTCAGCCATGTCAGCCATTTACAGTGTGGCATGAGACACTTGAATTAGAATTCCGTTTGTAGCGTTGTTAGCCTTGTTTTGCTGCTTTGCATGCTGCTCACAGCCATAAAGGAGCAAGCGATGCAGAGCTGTTCCTACTCGTATGTAGAAAGGGGAAACGTAAGTAAAAATGTTATCTTTTGTTTAAACTGAACCTGATGTCGCCGTTGGGTAAAAAATCCTTTGATTTACTTTTGTCTTCATATTTTGTAGTTTACATTTCGTTTTTCGCATATTGCAATTCGCAATCCATTCGTTTGCCATACTAACGTTTATGAAGCGCATAATTAGATTAAAATCTTTATGCGTACATATAAATAATATATATAAATATATAAGCAAATAGTTACGGAGCAGCATAGCTCGTCTATAGCTGTTTTGTATAAATAAAGTTAGCACAGTGAATGATTTTGTTGAAAAAAAGAAAAAGAATTGCTTTATTTGCCCGGAAGATTGTTAAGTTGACTGAAGTTGGCAGCAGAGACAATAGCGTGCAAATATTATATATACAACTCCGCTTAGAAGTTGCTCCCGTATGCCTTTCATACTGCCATGCTGATAAGGTTGAACTGAAAGGTATATTTCTCGGGGCGCCGGCATGTATTGTTTAAATAGTAAAAACTATAATTCATTTCAGCTGCCTCAACTGTAAATTAAATTACTCATACGTCATACTTCCAAAAGAAAGCGTAAAGAATATTTAAACTTAGCGTTTGAAATTAATTTATTACTACGGTTTTCGTGTCAATGGTAATTTATAATTACAGTTATTAAAGAGCTATAACTATGCATATACTGTTTTGTTGAATAGCATAGTGCTGTTCCCTGAAAACTCTATAAGAGTTCTTGTTAGGTCTCAAGTGAGAGTCCTGTATTTCATTTAAATTTAACTAAAAAGAATAAGTCTTTATTGCTAATTATTTGTGCTGATTTTTGACTAAAGAACTAAAAGAATAAGTTAAGTTACAGATTAATTTGCCTAGCCTTTGAGAGGTATATGAGGGTGTCATATAAGACGCCGATTTTTGGCACATTGCTGTTTTCCTTAACCACTTGGAGGTATCTAACATTTATGTAGAATTAGAAAATCAATGTCTGATATAGACCTTCAAAATATCTTTTTTCAAAATGTTGAAAAGAGAATAAATGTGTTGATTTAGTCTCTTTTGAGGGCTCACATTTCCGATTTGGTTAACCAGATACTAATTTTGGCAAGGTTTCTTTTTATCTGAGATAAAGCAATATATATAAATGATTTACTTAGCCCTCAATATAGTATAATTCGTTAATATAGCAGAAGCATTTCTGCTAAAGGTATGCTAGGTGAAAATCATATATGTGTATGTTTGAGTCCCAAAATACATCCTTAGGACACTCCTACTTCAATTCATGGGTTTAAATAAGTATATCGGTAGAGAATGTCAGTGTCTTTGGAAAAGGACGATTTACGTCTGTAATGGCTAGCTAAGAAAGAAAAACAACTAAGTCAGTTGTTTTGCAAAACGAGCAAAACCATCCTTAAATTCAATGTGGTAGAGGTCAGATTAGTGATTATATTGATTGGACAGAAATTCAAAGTGTGGCCTATATTATTTGGTCACTGCTACCAACGACTTATTTTATAATTATCCTTAATTAGGGCCACTTCTTGCGTTGTTAAATATTAAATACACCAATAATACTAAACAATATTTACAATTGTTAGTTTTTATATTATAATAGAGTTACAACATCTTGGTTTGTGTTCGTGGATTACTGTTTATTGAGCTGGTTATTGTCTGTTTACCTCTTGAGTGCAATGATGGAAGCATACTTCGTTGATATATACTTATCAGTTTTGAAAATTTAGATTTCACCCATTTATGTTCATTCTTGACTTGAATCATACGTGTAGTAAGATATATGTTTCGCTAATATATGTCACAAAAAAATTTCTCCAGTAATGCTAATATATATCTATATATCGTTTGAAATCGTTATGCTACTATTTTGGGGTAGTTTTGAAAAATGACAGTACTCATATATAGGGAATTTTTTTTTTCGTATATAATTTAATGTCGATATCATTATGATTGCAAAGATAATAACTTATTAAGTTCATTCTTTTTCGATTTATAGCAGGATATTTTTCATGAACGAAAATGAAAAAAATTGTCTCCAATCTATTTCAATCTCAACTCCTTTTGCTATTTTTGTTATTGAGATGCATTCAATATGTTAATCACAGCGTTGACAGCATCGTTAATTGCTGCTGACACCCGAAATAATGCAAGACAATCACAAACACGCAACGTGCAACATGCAACACGCAAACGCACAAATGCAGGCTTCCCCATGGACTGAACGCAAACCAGCCAAAGAAAAATGATTGAACGCCAACAGATGCGTTAACGCTGGCACTGGCGGTGGCGGTGGCGATGGCAATGGCGATGGAGATGGCGTAGTCGATGGCGCTGCCTGTCATTCAATCTATTAAAATTTTTTACTGATTTTTTGGGGTTTTCGAAAACAAGCCTGTCAAACGCAACTCGAGGCAAATTAATTTAATTCGAACGCAATTTGAAATTTTTTGACAGTTTCAAATTTCCAGATTTTTATATTTTAATTTATTTCCAAAGAATTAAATAAATTTCTAGAGAAGAAATATTTTTTCTTTTTATATTTCTTTATATTTATCTCTATGTTATCTGTCTTTGAACAATGTAGGCTTCTGCAATGAACGGTTCCATTTCTCTTGTGTCGGAATAAGTATCTTCTAATTTCTACTTTATTTAAATTGAAATTTTGATTTGGTTACATTTATTTGAGAATTTTTTTTATTTGCCAAAAATGCCAGAAATATTTAAAAAAACATAAAATTTCCTAAGTTTGAATCGGTTCAAGCGATTGAACTGACTGGAATGGTTGGAGTGGCGGGCGCCCCGTCGTTAAGTGCCCAAATCTGAATTGTCGAAAATAATTCAATATCAAATTTAGTTATTTCTGATTTAAAATATGTTCAAATGGAAACAAAAACTTTTGTTGTAGATGCTTTTTCATTCGAAAAATGTAAAACAAAAGTTTTGAGCTAACATAAAAATTATCGAAAACAATGGATATAAATAAAAATGATAATGTTTTATGGGCACATAAACTCCTCGGGAACGCCAAGCCACCTGCTGTCATTTATGGCAGTTGACACATTTACGCCTGCATTTAATTTAATTCAACACATTACAATAACTCATATTTGGTGGCTTTCTTCTCTGCCAGTTACCTAAGGAAATATAGTTTTTTATGGAGTTGGCGGTGTGCTGAAGTGAGTGTCATTGTGTCTGGCAACAGAAATATATAAACTATTAAAAACTTTATTTTATATGTGAGCAAAATTATTTTGTGAAATAATTTCGGTTATATTGACACCTTCTACTTTTATGGCCATCAAATATTATGGGCTTGCTTAAGTACCGGCAAACAGCATGAGATTTGCGGTTATATCAATACAGAGATGGTTATTATATATGGAAATTAATTTATAAAAAGACTTTCACATTACGAATATCAAATTAATCTGAATAGAACTTTTTAAAACTTTAATATATAGTATTGGTTACTAAGTATTTCCGTATAAACTGAGTAATGAAGAAGTGATATATATCGTTTTGAATACATATATTTAACAATATAGTATATATTTAGTATATATTATAATATATATAATAATATATGTTCTTTCTCTCCAAAGAAAATAAGTAAATTTAGTGAACGAATTATTAAATATAAGAAATAATTCCAAGACACTCATGACGAGTATTTGGCAATAATCGAATCAACTGTAGCGCCAGCCAAGAATTCAATTAATTACAAATAAATAAAAATTATGTTGTTGCAATTCAGTACTCTTCAGTCTCTAATAAAATTAAAAAAAAGGTTCTACTGATGTTGTGCTTCACCTTTTCAGATACAATCAAATTCAGATATCTCTAATATTTAATAACAGATTTTTAATATCTGTATTTTAAATACTTTGGTTTTGTGCTATTACCATACAAATTCTACATATACCTAAGTAGATATGAAATGTCTCTTTAAAAATCATTTAAATATCTGAATTGAAACTTAGTATCAAGTACTAAGAATACAAAATAGGTCTAAGATCTAGTAATGTGACATTATGCAAGTAATGCAATTAGCAACAGCAATTCAAACCCTGGTAATGTCAAACCTATTTATTAGATACACGCAGGATGAATGGACTGATATTAACAACGTAAGACGTTTGATTAGTTAAGAAATTGGCATAATGCATTTTATCTTTTATCTAGATCTGGATAGAATGACTGGATTATAGCCTAAATTGTTTGTAAATGGCTTTTCACCTTTTATTAGTAGTAAGTATTAGTTTCAAATATTACAAATAATAATATATAAAATAATATATTTTGTTGTGGTGATGTCTATGACATATATATATATATATATGTTTTAAGCTATGTGATCCAAACCAACGTGATTCAAGTTTTAATTGAACAAATTATAAAAAGAAGTCGTTTGTTATAAATATTAATATCTAAAAATTATTCAAAACGATTCATAGGAAGATAATTATTGTACTACTAATAAAAGATTTTCCTTTACTCTTTAGCAATGACTATCGCATCCGGAAGAACCACGAGCTTTAGCACGACATTGATATTTAGCGAGTTGAAATCCATCGGTTTTGCCAGCTTTGTTATGTCGAGAGAATGGACGAAGATGCTCCAGCGAAGAAAGTATTTGAAGAGGTAGTTAGAAGAAGAAGACGACCATGTCTTCACTAGAGTGATTACGTTGAAGAAACACTGACTGCACTTTGATATACGACACTGGAGAAAGTGCGCACGTAGCACATGCGTTTGAAGGGACATTTTGCGTCAAGCCGAAAGCAGTTAATGGGTTATTATGGCCCAATAATTAAGCAAGTACATCATAGCATGAATATCCATACTTATCCTTACAGTTCACATTGGTTTCAAATGATTTGATCAGGAAACAAGCAAAGGAGGTGAATGGTAAAGATGTGAGAAGTGGTTGCACAACCTACTAAAAGGAACCGAAAGAAAAACATCCGCAATATCAGAAATCTTCAATTGAATTAAGATGTGAGCACTATTTAATGGAAGCTATAGGCAGAGAGAACAAGAAAAATAAAGAGTTGAACAGTTTCTTTGCAAATATTCAGGCATGGAAAGTTTTGGACATTCCATTGGGGAAATTTGCAAACTAATTAGCCTGTGAGCATCTCATATATCGATCTTCACAAAAAATCCCTCTTTTATTAACTGTGCTGGTATATTTCAGAACTAAGACTTCTATCAAAATGGCGCCTAGCCGCTACTTGAACAGAAGAGGTAGCTTAATGTCATTTTAATTAATAAGAGAATTTATATATTTTGTTACACATTGAGATATGACTTTTACAAAGACTTATTGAACGATTTACGAAGGACAAAAGTATTTTGTGTTAATTTTGAATATTTAAAAGTATTCACAAAATATACTATTGCTCTATTTGAAATGAAATTAAACCATGATTTATTTACATCTTTAGTTAATTTCATTATTGAACATTTCAACGAAATCCCTAGGTTAAGTTAGGTTGGAGTAACTGCCTTGTGCCCACTTCACGAAGCCCCTACAATTACAATTAATTTCGTCAACTCTTGTCATAGTAACAATTCCAAGTAGTCGATATAACTGACAAAAAGTGTTTTTAATATATCCTCATTTATTACCAATTACTAAAGCAAGCTTATTGCTTTTATTAAAATTTTTACTCTTATCTAAGTGATGATATACACAAATCTGATAGTTTCGCAGAAACCCGCACATAAGGCCAACATATGCGATAATTTTTTATATTTCAGCCATGCTCATACGTTCCATTATATGACAACGGAGCAACATGTTGATATTGCTGTTGACATAAACATGATGAAACTATAAACATAAAGTAAAGACTCGCAAATGCTAGATGAGTTGTGGTTGTCCTTGATGCACAATCAACTCGATCGATGCAATAAGGAAAAGACAAGACCTAAAGCATAAAATAAAATGTCAAGTTTATTTATCATTTGTCAATGCAAAATCAACTGCAACAACAAAATCACTGGCAACGCATAAAATACCACAAGAGGAGAGGCAATGCATTGATCAAGCCAAAGAGATGCGTGCTGCAGCAGTTGCAAATTGATCAGTATCACTAGCCTTGATCATGGAACTGCACTTGCCTGTTTCAAATCGCTTAGGTACTTATATGCGCAGTCGAGCAACGTTTTAGGAATTTAAATATTGATTTATGCAATCAACTTAAATGTTTACCAAGCCATGATCAAATCAAGTTAAAAGATAGCCAACAATGATCTTTTGTGTCCTTACCAAGAACTCAGAGCTGACTTCTTATGGAGATCATATGAGTTATGTGCTGTATGTTGTTTATTTGTATTGTTCCTTGTGCTTTTGTTTTTATTATTTATTGTCACTTGCGTGTTTGTTCATAAAATAAATGTATGTACTACTTTTGTGTCAATCTGTCAATCAGCGCTTCACTTTGTCACGATCGATTGAGTGATTTCATTAATAATTCATGCGAAAACCTTACAGCTTCCATATGGTCGGATTTGGTGACTCGTACTAATGCCCATGTACTCGTACCAAATGTCAAAGGAGTGCGAGGACTTCGTAACAGGGATAAATAAAATTACCTTTGTATGCAAATTTTATGGTTTGTAGTTCTTTAAACGGAGCTAAAGCATGCAATGCTTTTGCATAAATAAAGTAAAAGATCACATCATATGATTCTCATCTTATATGTGCTGTTGTGATATAACATTATATATTTGGTTCAATAGTTATGTTGTAAATATGTTTCATTAAGTATATATAATATATCTTGTATGTGTGTTTTCTACTACTTACAAAGCTTTTGTCTGAAGTCAAAGTTTCCACATAATACATATAATCATTTCAACTCATTTTCAACTTGGTTTTATTGAATCTTTAAAATTGTTGATATCATAAAATGAAATCTTCATTTAAATTGTCTGTACTTTAAAATTTAAATTGTTCTGCAACAATTTCAACTTATAATCAAGCAATCAACACATTTGCTTTTAAACTCTGACTGATCGTAAACCCAAAAGGATACAATGAAAATTGCTTGAATTTCGATAAGCAAATAACTCACTTCTTGGGATTAATTGAAGAATCTCAAAGGAGCGGTCGGTTTCATGCTCAGTATGAGTGGCTTAGGATTTAAGCCATTCAAATTAAAATTGCTGGCATATAACTTTAAATGGAGACGTCAACATGAGACTGACAAGTTCATTTCACTTGTACTCCTTCGGATTGCAGTTTAAACAGAGCACAAAAGGTTTTAAGATAAACCAAAAATGAAACCAATTTAGAGCTCAATTCGGACTTGAATGCAGATATATTTGATGGCTGCTACCTACAGTGGCTTGACTGCACTGTTGTTGAGATAACTTAAACAAATACGTAATTTACTCCAACGTTCATACCTGACAAAAAGAAAATAACTTTTAATATTTTGTGGACGAAATTCGCGGAAATATTTTGGGAATGCAACAGATGTGCCAGAAAATAAAATGAGTAAAATTTAATAGACCGCATACGGTAATCAAAAATTTAATTGAAAAACCATTTTAATAAGTTTGTCCTAAAGCTCAAATTCATTCTTTGAAAGTGAATTAATTATTATCTCTTAATTACATAAATACAAATGAAATAGAGGCAATCAGTCCTTTTATTAAGCTAGAGACAAAAGAACACGAATATGTACCTATATAGTTTCATCTGTAAGTCGTGGATTTAATGACTTACAATGCCGCTTTATTTATTAGGGCAAGTAGATAGGTGAATGGTGTGTACTCAATCCACTGACTATTAAAACTTGAGCGAATTGATTTGAAATGTAATTGTTAATTTATGTATATAATGTCACTTTATATAAGTTGATTTAAAAACATTATCAATAAAAGAGCGAATAATAAATTATATTATAAAATGTGTTAGAATGTAAATGGAATAAATTGTTTGCTACGTGTACTTAGACCACTATGTTGTTTGATAATATAGATTATCATTGGTTTAGCTGATCCTTTGATGTCGTGACAACTCTGTTGGTTATGTCTAAGCATTGCAGCTAAAAACCCATTGCAATAGAGAAAACCCTAAAGGTAATATCATAGCATTATCACTAAGCACCAACTGCGAAGAAGAAAACATCAAAGAGATCAAGGAAACTTTTCATTTAATATGTACATCAAATCGAATGAATCAGAAAGAAAGCAACCCATGTTTATGGAGCAGTCAGCTGGCTCCTACCGAAATTTGATCACACAAGACCAAATTATTTTAATATGACAAACTTTTTATGCGACCCTTCATTGTCCATTGACAATGAGACTCATCGTAAAGAAATCCCACACATCAAAGGGAATAGACTATCGAACTCAGACCAAAGATTTGAGAAAACGAAAGGATTGTAAATGCATAGTGTCACATTCTTTAACTGATGACTTTAAGGATTGTAGAATTGAATATTGTGAAGACATGTTCAAAATATTCTTTAAAAAATCCATCAAATAATTTAGTCAATATATCTCGTGATAAAACGTTCCGTTTCCACAACAATACGAAAAATGTGTCAGAATGCATGCCAGCCACTAGAAGAACCATATTAGAGATAATTGTGATTTCACAAAAACAAAATCAATGTTGACCGTTGTCTTCAATTGAAATGGTTCATACTGAAATCATTCCAGACGATTGTGTAGTGTAAGTATATACAAGATCATAAGCATATACTATTATCTTGACGTTTAACAACGATTGGTGATCAGGACTCAGAAGGCCCGACTGGAATATCGAGAACCAGGTAGTTGGTCTCTGTAGCACGAAAGTAACATATATCATTGGACTACCATACCATAGTATTATATCATTTTTATCGATTATCTATCGCATTGAAATGATTTGAGTCTGTGCAATTTTTGACTGTTCCCAAAACTGACATTGGCGATAGAAGAAAATCGTTTTGATGTGATTCTAGGACTTACTCACTACACTACACTTTACTACACTTACTATACTAGGACATAATTTACTATAAGCTACTAGAAATGACAAATATATGTTTTTTTGAAAAATTTATTAAACGGTTCCAGTGGTCAGTTCACGGACTAGCAGTTGACTTATTTTTAAAACTGCAATAAAGTAAAGAATGTTCCCACAAAAGAAATGGTTAGGTGAAAATATAAAACATATCTCAACCTCAAATGTGTCTATTAAAAGTTTTCCAGTTAGTTGTGCAAAAAAATGACATTATATGCTAATAAAATATACTGTATAGAAATGGCACTGAAGACGTCTTTCTTTTATTAGGAAAGCGTAGCAGTGGAACTAAGCACATGTTTTCAGTATTCTTCACCATGTAATGTTACAAATAAAACTTCCAATCACTAATAACCTAAACTATTTGTATCCCAAAATAATCAAAGGGAACACTTATTGCAGCAAGTACTAATATCCTTCACAGTCGTGAACTATGACCAATGAAGGTTGGCATCATAATTCAGGTAATTTTACATAAGCTTTGCTTAGCATATGCACGGCTACTACTAACAGCTATCAAACACGCCCACTTACAGCCATACGCGGAAATTGGATAGCTTCGCTATAACTTCAACTGTTAAAAGTGAACCAAGATGAAGAAGAAAAAGCACAAGTCGTAGTTGAGCAACGTCAGGGGTACCAATTTTGCTGCTAAAACCGATCCGATTCGCAGCAGCGAGTGCAGGCGCAACGTTCGCGTCGTCGGTAATTGTTAAAAACGCTGTGTGTGGCAATATTGGTAGCGCGTACTTTATAGTTTTCAAGAACTCCTAATTGCAGGTTGCGAACGAAATATCTGGTACAGTGTGGGCAATTCAAGCCAAGCCAACTTGTGCGATCGTTGAGGTTGGTCAGTAACGTTAACCAAATTGCAGATCATGTAAACAGAATTCAAGTACGAAAACAGTTTGCGGCATAATTACATAAATGAACAGAAATTCGCAGCAGTGTTCTCTGCAACTTTTGCTCCTGCTCTTATTGTTGCTACTGCTATTGGAATTGCTGCTGCTGCCATTGCTGTTGCTGATGCTGTTTCTGCTCCTGTAGCAATTATATTTAAGAGCACATATCTCATATATAGAAATTATGGCAACAATTTTATTTCTTGCAACAACTTAATTTAAAGCTATTAAAAAAAAATTAAGTGTTATTAAAATTAAATATATATGTCATTGTCAACAAAATGTTTTCAAAATATTTTTTAATGTGGCCTCGCATTTTTGCTTAAGAAATCTAAACTTCTACCTGACCCACAGTCTTGTTCTTTCTGTTATAGACAAGTCCTTATTCATTTGTTTTTTA